CGCGGCGGCATTTGGCGGTTGTTCTACCGTATAAAACAACTTATGGCCCATTAACGAGAATCCACTTAACGACGTTACGCGTGCAATCTGTCCTTGATACCATTCGTAATGAAGCGCATTATACTGCCACTAGGAACAGCTACCCATCGATACCATCGCAATAAATCATATAACCGCACAATTAATTCCATAATCGAGCAAAACTGGACACTGTATTAGGTCACTTGGGCGTAAGAAATTTCACGCAAATACAAAGACCTAATTTAAATTGGAATTTATTGTAACGCAAAATACACTCGATATTAGATAGTCATATTATATTAAAAGACCCTCTTTTGTTCTAGATTTAATTATTTAAATCAGGGCTTCTCTCAAACTTTTATGGGACGAAACCCACTTTCAGAAACAATAATTATGATCAACCCGAAGATTACGCAAAATGTAATTACAACCGAGAATTGATTAATAAACAATTCAAAATTGATTTGATTCAGATGTGCAAGTTGAGAGAAGCTAGACAGCAATAGTAATCCTCATATGGTCTTTAACTGAATCGGTTTTGAATTGTTCATCCAATGATTCTGTATGAGTAATACTATCCTGACGAATATGTAAATTAATCCCTAATTGTAATATTTAACGCGACCCATCCAAAAGTAGCCCGCCATCCATCAATGGTTCGCGCCCACACTTCGGGAATTTCTTTAAATTACGATTTTCTAGGTTTAAATATTCGACACCTATCAGTTCCAAAGATTAATGTTAAATCGAGATACACATTGCGAAGAAGCTTCGAATTTCCTCTGTTTTGGGCAAATATCCGCTCATTTGTTATTCACGTATACGCAGATACGTGGATAAAAGCAATTTGGCCAAATGCCAAGAAATCATTGTTTACTCTACTCAGCAATGTTCCCGATGTTTAAATCGCTGTGAATTAGGCTTGACCCGTTTCAGGAACCGTTTGGTTCGATTCTCTGTCGTCTCGCACTCACGTTGAACGTTCATCGTTGTCACAAATATTGTAACGGCGAGTGTGTAACCTGTTCTCGTGCCAGTTTCATGACAAAGCGAATACAGCTCGTACGCGTAATAACGACAGCAATTACCGGCAACCTCGAGAGAGAGTTCACGATTTATCATCCAAAAATCCTGCACCAGTATAAATTTCGATAATCACGTCGTACATTTTCGTATCGTGACACCTCCAAATACGTTTAATCCGAAAACTGAAAAATATGCTTCATATTGCTAACACTTAGTAAATGAAGTTATAAATTCCCCACAGCAATACATAGTAATAATTAGCAGTTAGCATATCATTTCGTTCCATGCAACTATGTAAAGTTATGCATAAGATATTATGTTTGAGAGAAAAGAAATTTAATAATTCTTACATCAAAGCGTAGAACAGAAAATAAAAGTATTTCGTATTTTTTTCAACCTTGCTACAATCATCGAATATTTATCTTTCAATTTCAATCTTGTTTCAACAAATAAAAAGACTTCTAATGTCTTAAGAAAAACTGAAACGAGAAACTAAACTTAAGAAACTTATTTTGACCATAGAAAATCGCGTACAAATTGACGTAAAGAATATAGCAGAGTTAATAAAAAGATGTTCGTTTTAAACAAAAAATTGTACGGGTAAAGAAAACGTGCGCGATATATGCGAAAGAAAGTAAAAAAATGGTGAAGGGGATGAAAATGGGCGCGAAAACTCACCGGTGGCGCAGGCGCTTCCAGCGATCCAAATGAAATAAACAGCGGCAAACAGGAAGGTCGACAGGTCCGCCACTGCATTTCTCCACGGCATCTCCATGTTACTTTGGTGAATTCCTTGCCGCTCTTGCCCACTTGCACCACTTCCTTAACACTTCAACCCGGGAACGTCATACAAATTCCACGACGAAGTTACGCAAACGAGTACCAACAATTCCTATATGATCTCCACATTTTTAAGTTCACGTGCGAATTCAGCCTCGAGTTGCGTTATTTCTTTTTAGTAGGCGTAACGGAAGAGTATTACGGCGTACACCTGTGAGACAACATTCCTTTTACTTGCACTCATAGTCCCTCCTCCTTTCGAAAAACCAAATGTCTCGAAGCATCTGTACTGTTTTCCATTCGACTTTTGATTTAATGCAATACGATAATTGGTTTTTTCTTCTTTCACCTTGGACTTAATAGTTCAAGTTCCTAAGCTCCCTCGTTAAAATTAGCATTACGTATCGTTGGATGCTACCTTGCGGTTCATTTTCACATTCCGCATCATTTTTCGAAATTATACACGTGAAATGCGGTCAGTCTCATAAAAATGTAAACAAAGCTTTGTAATCTTATCGTCGGAAGATGTATGAATTAACGGATGAGATCACACGAGAATTGTTGCAGCAACGGGGAAAAAAAATTATGAATTTTTACGAGAATTGTACGATACACTGATCATAGAACAGGTAAACTTGTACATATACTCGAAATATTAAAATCCAAATGTCAACGCACTTGATTTCATATTTCTTATCAAAACTTATTATTTCTAGCGATTGCAATGTACGTGAGAAGTGAACTTTCATGCATTCTTCCGTACGGTTGTCTCTTCAGGTAAATCCCAGGTAACGCGGCACAAAACGGTCACACTCACCTGGTAACACCTGGCAACACCGTTAAATTTGTTAAAAATGCTCTAATACGTTTTTTTTATTCAAATTAAAAACACAATCGAAAAACTTTTATTTACGAAACCCTAACGAAATGTAAAAACTTGCACGACGCGACGCATGATGCGAACCGTCCGTGAGTTTCGTTCGAATTACAAAGTTTTGTTGACTGGCCGTCATCGGCTACGTTCACAGAAGGCGTAAAGTTGAAATCGCAACCACGCGCATGCTCGAACTGCCCTAATGCTGTTCAACCAATCAACAAAAAGATACGGCGGCCAATCAGAAGTTTTCTGGATGTTAAATGCGTTGGTTGGTATTTGCTATAAATTATCACATGCATATAGGAATTTGTTTTGAAATAAAAAATACTTTTATTTGGAACTCGTTAATATTACTCGTTATTATAAACAATGTAGAAGTATTATTTTTTATATTATACCATAGTTTCTGTAAGTTATTGTACCTTGAAATATATACATTTCAAATTTGTACAGAATATGTTAAAATAATAATTGTTACTCTGATAATTAAATTTTGTACTATTATATTTCTTTAACATTTTCATTAATATTTCATATATCACCATATTAAAGTATAGATACTACTATAAATAGTACAGATATATTAGATTTCTTTTATTGTAAAAATTTTAAAAATAAACAAGCTTGTAAATTATTCGAAAAAGATAAGGAAATAAGAATCAGATACAAAGATAGTTACTTTATTTTAATAAATATAGAAAACCAATATTTTCGGTATTAAGAAATTTTTATTGAATTAAATAAACATTAAAAGAAAAACCCAAGTATTTTTCCTCCAAGATGCTTTCTTCTAGCTTCTTCATGATCCATAATTCCTCCACTTGTGGTCAACACAACATATCTAAAATATTTATAAATTACAATTACACCATGAAAATACAAAACTATTCATTGCAAAACCATAAGTTTCTCTATGAAATATAACACTATAAATTTCAATATATATAAACACATACCCAAACTGTCGAGATGGCAACAGGTTATTGGTCCATTTCTCAATATCATTAATTGGGACATCAAATCTTGGTGAAATTACACCACACTTATTTAGTCTTCCACTAAGATTTACTACAACTTTGCCACTACGGTGATCGTCAACAATTTCAAATTCTCCAATATATCCTTAAACATCAAAAGTAATTTGGTAAAAAGATCATGTATGTATTACATATGTACATGAACTTAGAGTCAGAAATTAAAGTTAAGAAATAAAACAATTCTTTTACTATTTCATAAATAAGAAAATGTTCGTGTAGCCTTACCTTTCCTCATCATTACAGTCAGAAATTTAATGATTACTTTTGAACAGGGCCTTAATAGCACCTGCCTTTTTCCACGTTTTTCAGCATTGTTAATGGATTTGAGAGCATCGCTAAGAACGTTCATACGCACCATGGCTGAAAACAAAACGTAATTTTAAGTTATTTAGTAAGTATTTAAAAACTATATGTACTTCTAGGAAATACACAAATTGTATTTCAAAATGTCAATAAAACATAACCTATAAAGAAAATGGATGAAATTCAAAATGTGTAACTTAATATTTTTATAAGCGTTAGTAATACGATATAATTAGCTTGAATAAAATAATAATCAATTTTAAAGAATACAACTTAAATTTTATAAGAAACAAAACAATAACAATGAAACAGGCAATACCATCTCACTAACCACCTCATACTTTTTTGAGTATTATAATAAATGCAAAATATTATTATAGATCAATTAATTATTAAATCTAGAAACTAATTCATAATTAATTTACATTGGATGAATTTGGAAAACTAAGATTACCTGCGATTTATAATTTTGTTTATCACAGCAACGTACACGCTCGACTAGCTGACCAAAAAAGAGAAGTTGGAAGTCAGGGTTACCATAGTAGCCACATAAATTTGCGTGTATCCCATTGGTTGAAATTCTTTGAACTTAAATAATGGTTCAGCAATGGTTAATAATAATCGTCGCTAATTTTACGAATAAAAATAATTAGTAGCAATACTTATATACAAAAGATATAATTTTATTCAAATACAGAATACACAATTATATATATAATCTTTTTATCTGAAACTCCATGATAGACGCAAAACGTATTATGCTCCTTAATAGATCAATTTGTCCAAAGAACCATATATGATTGGATTATAAATAAAGTGAATAAATAAATATATTTTAACTGATATTTTTAATTCTGTTTAATTATATCAATTCTTATAAATTTTTTATGCATATTGTTTGGTAATTACTATGCTAATGAGTATTATCTACATGTATAGATTTGAACGTAGTGAAAACGTTCTGATGAAATACATTCATTGAAAAACAAGATCTGGTATTCTGTCATTGTTCTGTCGATAAGATAGACAAATTCTTGATCAGAAAGAAGAAGATGTACCGTAGAAGAATATAAGCTGTGGTCAATTGATCGAACGATTGGTGATCGAGTGCTTTTGCTGTTCGGTAAGTGTGAATGTGTGTTGTATCAACGACGATTATTGTGCAAGTACCGAGTACTTGTCGAAACACGAAAGCTGAAAGTCGATAGTAATCCACGGTTCAGGAGAGTGGTATAAGGTAACGGTCCCTTGCTGCTTTCGTCATGTTGTCAAAATTGATGAGGAAGACAAAGTTGACGGGAGATGCTCACTGATATGGAGATTGTTGAGAATTCCCTGGTCCGCGGGCCGCCTCTACTTGAAAGGTTTCCCGGAAGTTTTCACACGAGAAACACGCAAAAAGGTGTAAGTCGTCAGGCAACTATCGGCTGTCCTGTCGGCTTCCTGAAATTTTAACATCGGTATCACCTGATTCCCGACTTGACTTGCTCATTTCTTTTCCGCTGTTAAGTCTGTTATTTCTAGGTTACGCTTTTTACAACGATCTGCACCATTACAATAATAACTATTTACATTATTTACAGGTCCATTGAGGTGTTCCCGCGGGATTTGGCGAGCTGGCGAAGCCAGGACGTGACATCGTACACTCGTCATTCTCGGAGGATACCGCAACACGTATCAAAATCAATGATACCCTCGCTGCGCGAGGACAATATTTCGCGATGTTCTCGGTGTCTAATTTATGCACTGAAATATTGAGGAACAGGAGTAAAAGTTATACAGCTGCCCATATACATGCAGAATGTAGCAATTTAGCTAATGACAATGGATGTCCACCATCTCTTAGTAAATTATTGGATGAACTGTTAAATCCTAGTAAAGATATTGGTGATAGAGAAACTATCAACTGGTGTAAATGGTTAATAGCTAGTGGTCATACTCCGGAGAAGTTTGCTAAAACAGGTACGCTATGTGTATTTTATTTTCTTAAACTGCACAGTACGGAAACTTTTTAAATCCGACCATATTCTAGCCCACAAGTTAAATGAATTGATCATTGTCAGTATTATCACATTAATTATATTTTTGACAAATATAGATATATTTTATGCAATGTGTTTGATATTTTTGCATATTTATATATTGCACTATGTTATGATTATACTATATACAGTTGCTTCAAATATTATTCATGAAACATGTTTTTAAAAGATTTGTTACTTTATTAAATATATTGTATATATAAATACATATTATATATTGTTATAAATAATATTTAATCTAAATGTTTAAACTATTGAAAAAGCAATATATAGAATTTATCTTTAAGATAAATTTAATCTAAGATAACTTAATAACTACTGCAATATAGTCTGATCATTGTTTGATACTTTTAAATAATATGCTTTGTTATGAGCATTATTTTGAAGTCTGTGATATAAGTATAGTGCAATTTGCGTATTTGGCAGCAGCAAGATTACCAGTCAAATATATATTTATATAAATTGCTATATTTATGAAAATATAGGTGCATGAATGATCTTAATACATGACAGAGTAAAGTTTATAAAATGTAACAAATACTTTGGTCAAAACAAAAATTGCCTAAATCAATAATAATAATTTCAGAACAATATTAAGTACTAGAAAGCTTTTAACCTAATTAAGAAAATTATATTTTTCAGTAATGTAGTTATGCAAGTTTAAAACCTTTATAATCTTTAAAAACATACATATTGAAACATACATTTATAAAATATATATTGAATTAAATTTTCATCCATCCAAATCAAATATTTATAAACATTTCAGTGAGAATGTATGATAATGCTACAACATGTGGACTGGTTTGGACACCTAATTTTGTAGCATATCGTTGTCGTACATGTGGTATATCACCATGTATGTCCTTATGTACAGAATGTTTCAAAAAAGGCAATCACTATGGCCATGATTTCAATATGTTTTTAAGTCAAGCAGGTGGTGCTTGTGATTGTGGTGACTCATCCGTTATGAAGGAATCAGGGTAACAATTTTATCAAATAAAATTGCTTGATATTTAAGAAAAGAATGATATCTAATAAAATTGTTGTCCTAGATTTTGTGATAGACATGGTCCAAAGGCCGCTGTTGATAAGTCAGCTGCTCCGTCAAATTTAATGTGTGTGGCAGAAGCAATGATGCCTAGAATAATTCTTCGCCTTATACAACACTTACGCGAGAATTGGTATATCATATATCTTTCTATTTAATTATTAGAAATATAAAAAATGTATAATGTTTGGAAATATTTTATTTAATATAGTACTGTGGGTCGACGAAATTATGAAGCTGCAATTCAAGATGCAGATGAATATCTAACAATGCTCATTGATTTCAATAAAATGGGTGCATTAATGAGGCATGTTATGACATCAGCTCTTACCAATCCACAAAAGTATAGAAGTCTTATGGATCCTACTGTATCAACTGGAGAACCAGAATATGATAGCTATTGCCAAGATAGTAACGAAATATATCAAAATGCAGTAAGGTCTTTGCCAAATCCAGAGCCACCTGATGAATATAAAGGTAAATTTTTTCTTTTAATGTATATCTACAGTTGTAGCAGAATATATTTACAATAAATACTATATTGTTTTAGAGTGTGCATCACTACAAGAACATTTACAGCATACTACTTTCTTAGAAGAATTAATGTTTTGGACAGTAGCTTATCAATTTCCACAGAAATTAGTTTGTTTGCTATTAAATATGTTACCGGATCCAGAATATAAAGAAGCACTTACTCGTGCATTTGTATTACATTACAGTAGAGTTTCAATGATGCTTGAACGTTCAACAGATCCAGATACTTTAAGCAACAAGGTGGTCCATGTCAGTGTACAGGTAGGTATTATCCAAAAATAACATTATATTTATAATAAAGAAAGTGCTTGATGTGTTTGTGCTTTATATTTCAGCTATTCAGTAATGAAAGTTTAGCATTGAAAATGGTAGATCAATTAAAGTTGTTGCATGTTATGGTAATAGCTTTAAAGTACATGATGAGTAAGATATTGATTCAAAACACTTTACATGGTGGGTAATATTTGTACAAGTTCTATTAAACTTTCGATATTTGTTTATTAACATTAAATATAATTTCTTATTTTTTTAGATCCAGATAAAAATTTTCATTATGTAGTAGACTGTGAACGACAAGTAATGAAGGAACACTGTTATTGGCCTATTGTATCAGATTTAAACAATGTTCTTTCACATAAGCCTATAGCTGTTAGATTTATGAGCGATGATACACTTTTAGAAATGTGGTTCGATTTCCTATCTATGTTTCAAGGTATTATTTAACTTTTGTACAATTGTAATTATAGTTACTTTTACACATAACAAAATACTTTTGAAATATTAATAAAATATTTTGTTGTGCTTATTCCTAGGAATGAACGTGAATCAACGAGAATTAAATCAACATGTTGAATATGAATCTAATACATACTACGCTGCATTTAGTGCCGAGTTAGAAGCTAGTGCATATCCCATGTGGGCTTTAGTTTCTCATTTACGTGGTCCTGAAAGTGCTGCTCTTACTCGTAGGGTGCTATCATTTTGTCTCACGGCATTACAAGATTGGTTAGACGCCATAAATTTCACTCATCCAAATGTGGTAAGTAATTAAATGTTTATTTTGTAATAACATTTTCTATTTTTCCTAATATCCAATTAATTAGTTGAATTAAGGTATCGATACTATTATAGCCCTTCTTTTTGTTACAGAGTGACAGTTTACAAGTATCATTTCATCTACCATTGCATCGGTACTTTGCTGTGTTTATGTGCCAAGCTGTGCGTCAACAAGGAGCTACCCTAAATGATTTATTACCTCCTACTGATATGTTACATCTTCTAATGATGCATCCTTTACGAGTTCAGGTAAGTACTTTTCTCTACTTCCTAGTATATTCTTTCAATGTAGTTATGATGTGCATGTACAGTATTTTAAATAGAACTAAAATAATATTTGAAAATATCTATAAAGAATCATATTTTCTGCAGACATTATTATTTCGAATATCATTGAGTACTTTTAGTAGAATTTTATTATGACGATATGTGTATATGATATATATGGATATCGGTTGGTTTTTTTCGGATAGTTATTTTATTTAATAAATCAAAATAATATCAAAAAATACTTTGAGCAACGAGTAGGTTTACATTAAGTTATTTCAATAGCATAATATTAAAGAAAATCTATGAATTTCTTATTTAAACAATAAAATATAATTCCTTATAAAGTAGGAAGTATCATTATTGAAAGTCTTATTGAAATTAGGAGTGTAAGAAAATACAAAAGGAATTTAACTTTTGTGATATGTTGTTTTAAAAGAGTTATACATGCTAAGATGGCACAAAAAACAATTGTTTAATGGAGAATTGTTTCTAAAAAAAGGGAGTTATTACTGATATATAATCAATTTTTTAAATCACACTTATCAGACTTAAATGTAAATTAATGAAAGACATATGAAAGTAGAAATAAAACACAAAAGATAGTTACGAACTATATCTTAGTAATACGCTTATAAATTACATTCATACTACTCTTATTTCATTTGGAGCATCGATAACTGTATCTGCAGAAGGAGATAAATCAACTTGTAAATGTTTACTAAAATCATACGTAATCAATCTCATTGCTACAAATCCACCCGATCCTGGTCGGCCTTTGTGAAAAATTCCGGCACCTGCAATTGGAACTGGTGGATTTGATTCTACTGGTTGAATATCAATGAATGGTATTGTGTTTTGAGCAACGTCATTTTTTTGATCGCTTGGTGCAAAATTCAGGTATTGGAATGGTTTCGAGTCTGGTAGTGCTAGAAGAGGTAATCGAGTTGGTATATCAGGATTCTCAAATGTCACTTCAGTTCTGCAAATAATTATAATGCTAGATAAGCAAACACACATTTACAAGTATACAAAAATATGTACAAGACATGTGCAGATTTTACCTATTGGTTCTATCATGACTGATCCAGAAACTCCTTTCTAGCGGTTTTATTAATTTCCCAGTCGTGAAATTAAAAGATGTCATTCTTGCTTCTAAGTTTAATCGTGAACCAATCATTCGGAACTTGAGTCCTGAAAAATAGGTATTATAAGCGTGATATTTAAAAAGGGATATGAAAGAAACATAAATTTACACATAAATGTACCTGTCAAAAGCAAATTGTCATCAAGGACTAGATCATCTAAATCTAACCCCCTTTTTTCCCATGATAATGTGTGATAGTCAACACCATTTTTAACATTGTTATCTAATACACTGAACTCTTCTATTGGTTTCCACCATATAGAGGATTTATTAATGTATCCATGTGGCATCAATTCACCTTCCTGTATCTGCATATGTATTATTTGCTTCACTTTCTTGAATCGGATGCCCGTCACGACTCTGTAACAAATAATATTATTATTAATTATGAAAACAGTGACATCTTAAGAGTCTTCCTAAAATACCTGCCATAATCAGTCACTTACTTATTGTTTGCTACATCAGATACAACTTCCCTTAAGCTAAAGTATCGATCAGAGTTTATATTATTGTCATCACAGTAACAAAAACAATAGCTGCAGTGCCAGAATAACCAACGCCACCAGCTATCTACTTTGGTTGTTCCTCTCTTGCAAGTATCTTTTTGTCCGAACAGTCGACCATTTTCATATTCTATGTATTCGTATCTTCGATCACTTTCCTGTATCTGAAATAATTTGTAAACACTTCACATACATTCTTATTATATAACATCTGAACGCAGAAAAAATTTTCAATTTACCGAAGGACAAATCCACATATCGGAATCAATATATTCGCATTTTAATATTCGACCGTTACATTTGCGCTGTTGGGAGCAAAATTGATTTTTGTAACATCCATGAACTTTCGAATATTCGTAATAAGCACAATTTTCTCTGCAACTCGAGTCCTTGTTTAAGTCCACTTCGTTCACGATATATCCTTGGAACAACTGTGTTAATTTGGTGTATGTTTCATCTGTAACAATTGTTTCAGTTATATTTGTTACACATGTTACACGCGAAAGTAGTACCTAATTTATGTGATCTCGCATCACATCTCCAGAGTTGTCGTGGAGCAAACGCCATGGCTGTTTTAACAGCCCGCAGAGTTTCCATCGTTCTCGTCTCATACTGTTGCTTCACCACTTCCATTTCTTCAGTGAAATTAGTACCTACGTCAAGTTTATTATAATTAGAAATCGAATTTTTCAATAATAATATACTATATTAAATGCAGCATACTTTTCTTTAAATAATAAGCGATCAGAATATTTTTTTAAATATGATAAAATCGTGCTTGTGAACTGTATACTATAGAATAAAATTTTTAAATATAGTTACAAAAGTTGGAGAAGAAAATAACAAGTTATGCAATATACAGATAACAGTCACTGCACCATACCTGGGTTATAAAGCCGCAGCAGCTTATAAGAGAATTGGATCATACCATAACCCTTGATTTCCGTTAGGGTTACCGTTGTATATAAATTATAGAGCAATTGCTGAAGCGACTGATTTTCATTACAAATTTGCGAAGCTGCTTCCTAATGAAAAACAAATAGAAAAAGAAAATACAAAACCTGTCCATATTGAACAATAAATTCTTAAATCTTTGAATTGCTAATTATCAAAGAAGAACGTTCGCTACTTCGTTGATCATCAGAATTGGAAGTTCTTTATAACTCGTTTATTTATTTTTGTACCTGATAAGCCGAAACGAACAATTTTTCGTGCACTATCAGGTCACCGATTCGAGTGAGGGCGCGTACAATTGACGCATTCGGATCGTGTAGAATTATATCCCAGAAATCGCTCAGCTTCGGTATATCAAGAGGAATCTTTCTGCCGACTATCTCCTCTTGCATCGTTCGAAAAACTTGGTACAGACCATCTATTCCTTTTAGTTCGTTTTCTGTTCGAGCCCATAACCAAATAGAACTCAATGCATTTAAATTTTCATAACCATTGGTCGAGAAGTTTCGTTCTAGTTCATCGCCGAATTTCTTGAAACTTTTTATGAGCCATAGGTACTTTCCACCATCTTCAAACTCGTGGAGCCTTGAGTGAAACAAATCTCTCTCTAATGTTTTCTCCAATTGCAACAACTTATTTCGCATTTTGTCGATCAATGTTGTATCGTATTTTATACTCAATGTTCCCCATATTATGCAGAAAAACAGAAAGCATACATGGATATTTCGTATCTTCATTTTGTAAGTCTATTTATTTGATTCTTGAAGGGTTAAATTTTTCAATTATATATATATATATATGTATATATATAGATGAACCGGTGCATAAGGACTTATATTTGATCCATTAGATTAGATTATTAATACCTGTATGGAAATATAAGATTGAAATTCGTGCTAAAAGAAATTGTTTCAATGCACAATCGTTTGATATGTTAAATATTTCAGTCAAGAGTATTTTGCAGACATAAATAGTCTGGTGTACACTCTTCTTACTTGTTAATTAATTAGTTAATTAATATATTTTGTGATTCATTCCGTGTCGTGCGTCATATTGCTGATCCACAGTAACCATAGTAAATAAAGATACATTTGTATTCACTTCTTAAACAAGTTGTACATGAATGAAAATTCAGTTGACAAAATTCTATAGTACCGTAACTTCTTATAATTATCGTTTACGAATTGGTATGTAAATATCGTACTTCCTCCTCTAGTCCCCTGTTGTTTTTCATATCAAAAATGTTATTGTTGGTGAGTCATGTTTAACAATACGGAATTAAATAGTGTGACATAGCTGTCATTACTTTGACCTTACTTAAAAGTCTACTACAGTTCAAGTTTCTCACGGCTCGGAATAAATCAATCGTATAATGCAGAACGAGATTCCTCGTACAATTTGAAAAAAATACCAAAATAAAACGCTATTCATAATACGTAACGGCTTTGGAATCTCTGACACTAAGACGTCATATGTTTATAACAACATTTCATAATACTGTGTGTTTATGCGAAATGTACACATAGATTGCTAAACGCTAAGCTCAATGGTAAGGGTCGAATGTACCGATTACATTGATAATTAGATACGTCACTAATTGGATTAGAATCATATCGCGCGTTTTGTTCGCGGAAAAATTACTAAGATATATGACATCTCGAAGATTCGTTCTCGATTGATAATACTTTTTTATCTCCAGTAGGTCTCGTTTAATTCATATAAACGTGAGTCACATCCGCGTGTAGCTATTAGCTCTTCCGGTGATTCAGACAATTTCGACAATAATCGATCGATATTTTGAGCGCCTGCCCTTTCATTTCGATATAGGTAATAAGTTTCTCATATCGTTGTGATGTCTTATATAGAAATCTTTAAGAAGCAATACTTGTTTGTTCGGAAAAAATGAGTCGGTAATCATATTTGTCCAAATTTATAATAATTAAAAATTTATAAAAATCGGTTTTACTGTATTAAAAATAGCCTCTCTTAAAGTTTTGTCGCATCTATCGTAATCTTATTACATGTGCATATCCCTATTTAAAACGTGATTGTTTTTAATATCGGTTGATTTAAGTTAGTCATTTCTGTAATATTTCTTTCTTTATTATTTATTTTTAATCCTCCGGAAATCGCAGTTGATCTGACAGATACGTGTTAAATCTAATTCTAAATATTTTTAAAAATTGTTCATTCTTTACATTTAAATTAGTAATTATGTAGTTTATATACGTAAATATATCTATATATTATGTTTTGTATAATTTTAGTATAATTAAAGACTTTATATGTTTATACAGTTCTTTTATCAAAAATAAGCATTACAGCATAGATTTACTTTGTCCCTCAGATATATAGTAACCTTTGATGGGATTTTTACGATTGCGTCTTCCGCACAGTTAAATAAATAGAGATATCTTATGATATTCGTTGACGCTACATTGACAACTATCGTAACAAGTCACGAATTATATTTAATATTTATTGTTATCGAATTACAAACAGATCGATTTCGAAGGTGAAGGTTAAATTATTTTCATACATATTTTATTCGCAGATATATCAATAAATACCTTTTTAACCATGTACAAATGTGAAATATTATGTGACGATTTTAAAACGTACAAATATTGTTTCAACGTGACGCATTTGTATTTACATACAGCACAAATCCTGCGTGCAAGTATTCAAGACGACACGACAGAACGATGTGAGAAACTTTAAGGTGGTACTGTTATTCGGACAGAATATCTAAGAACGAAATCCCCTAACGTTCTTATATTCTGTAAAATGTATACTACACTTGACTAGCATCACACTATTTACTGATAACTCAAAAATAATATTCGATTTAATCTTAACATTACTTTTTCCAATGGCTCTATTCTATTAACGAATGGAAAGTAACGTTTGAAAGTTATATAGGCCGTGAAAGGTTAGCATGATTAATTGAAGCGTTTCGACCGTAATAAGCAAAAGCATTGAAATCTAGTAAACTATTAAAAAATCTTATATTATCCTTTTTTTTTTAAATACTTAGATTATTAATTCTATGTTGTTTAGAAATGTTTCACTGTATATATCGTTGCACAAACTTTCGCTCAACAGTAGTCTTTTATAGTTGGAAAGTAATTGATAGTCGTGTTTTTTATACGACGAAAATATACCTCCGAAACAAACACTTTTCCTCGTATGCACAGGCTCTACTAAGAACTTTACGTTATTGTTCCCGTCATTTGACTCTCTGTGTTCCTCCCCTCTCGAGTTGGGATCGTTCGAGGCTTAATGGTGTTACATATTTCTGCGCATGCTCCTCGTCATTCTCCCTCTCCATACTTCGTACTCAAGTCATTTGTACAAACTGCATCATTGTTGTTCCAACAGAAATGTTGCATTTCGTTCTTTTGCTCTTTATTGGACATTGAATGATTGATTTAATAAAACTTTTTTTGTAAAATGCACTCGTTGGCAGAGTAGACTTAAAATTTTTAAGTTTTTGTTGTAACGGTCACGTTACAATTCTTTGATAATTATTTTTGATAATACAAAATTGGAGAGAATATAGCTTACGGAAGAGTTTATTAGATAATTAAAGAAATCATTGTCTATTTTCCCTATATCATTAACTTTGTTAAGTTTATTCTATATTTTTCTTACCGATTTCTTTAAAAAAGATAAAAATATATATAGTACACGAAATAAAAGATTGTTCGGATAATGAACAATAGCAAAGTTATTGCAGTGTTATCTATGTTCGTACCGAGTGTGTAATTTGAATAGGTACAGATTGTCGGATGTCATTTGATCACTATGATATTCTCCCGTATGTAATACCCCTTGATAGTCACGATTAACTAATTTCTAACAGTACATTAACGGATATTCGAATCGCCAAAATATTAAATACTTCAAAATTTATTCCATTTCATATAATCTAAAAAAATTATCTTACAAATTCATGAAGTTGAAGGAAATTTTTATTTTTCTAAGTTTTTAGAAAACACATTTAAAATACATATGTTCTCACTATTACGCGTCATTTTTCTTTATTGAAAATGTGTTTAAAAATCTACAAAAACTTACTTGCATTTGGTTTGCCAATAATATGAGAACGCTTCTGCTAAGAATCTCGTCGGGAGAAGGAACAAAAAGCCGATGAATGCTTTTCAAAAGATCAGGGAGAGCATCCGATCTCGAGGAAACGCACGTTCTCGCGAAATCTTCTAATGTGTACCTCTCGTATCTGTTAGGCGCTTTCGAATACAAATGGAAGACATTGTATAAATCGTTGATTTTCCCAACGAATTGATCAATCATACGTAACTTTTGATCAAGCCTTTCTTGTAACGGCATCTCAGTTAAAAGTTTAGCTACAATGCTGTCCAAACGCATATCTATCTGTTCTTGAAAAGTATCAATCTGTTGCGATATTTTCGATATACGATTCTTTAATTCTTTCTCCATTCTGTGAATAAATGGCAAATTGTTGTCATACTCAGAATCTTTTGGACGTATGAAGTCCCATGATTCGAAAATGTCTATCACCACCTCATGTCCAAATTTTATTAAATCTTTTACATCGACATAACCAAATTCAAAACTATATGTAAATCGTTCTGCGCATAAGATACAAATAAAAATAATCTTCAAATTAATTGTAGCCATTTTTTTAATTCAATGACAACTGAATCAAGAGGAAATTAATTTGCACAAATAACACTGATCCGATCTTGTTCTTCTTTCTTCCTTTATCATTTGATTATGGAATTGTTTTCTTTATTGTCACAAGTTTTAAAGCTATACTGATTATGAGGATGGAATCAAGTTTTCGGAAAATTGCTGAAGAATTAATCACACTGACACGAGGAAGAGCTCTTAGTCAGCTCTTCGGACGCTATAAATGTCCCCTCTTTGTTCATTGATCGTAGAATCGCTAGGAACAGTACGAACTGACAACACAGCAGTTGAAAGTTGGAATTCTTTCCAGTGACGGGATTGGTTGATTAAGTGGGGGATTTACCATAGTCTGCGAATCATGTATTCTATGGGAACCCGTCTTTTTTATATTTAAATTTCAAATGTTTCGTACGTTACATGTTAACAATATCATGTGCATAAAGCAGATGATAAATATATATGAATATACATGACAATTATGACAAATAAATTTAAATCTTTGTACAAATTTATTATAAGTAATGGATCACATATAGACATTTTGATGTCTTCTACATGCTTAGAACTTATTTTTTTTATTTCAACAGCATACCTGAACATTTCATGTTAAATAAAATTTCATTAATGTTAGAAAAATTTGTATTTCATTTATTTAACGTTATGTATCATATTTAACAATTATTAAAGTAACTGAAATTATAGAAAACGAAACTTTTTTCAGTACCGTTAGCTCTTTTACGCATCTTGCATACGTTAAAAAATAATACTTTCAGCTATGGAATGAAATAATTTCTCAATAAATACCTTTCTTTCAAACTTAGTTTTTATACTATTTCATGTTGTGCTACATTATATATTATATATCTTATGCTGCTGTAATATATTGTTAGCTATTAAAATAATGAAAATTAAGACAATGAATTTTTGTTTAGGTTGCGTTTTATGAAATTTTAAATGGATTGTGGGTGCGTAATGGTCTCCAAATAAAAGGTCAAATTATGACATACATACAGTGCAATTTTTGTAACTCGATGGTAGATGCAGATCTTTATCTACTTCAAGTTTGTGCAACAAAGCTACAACCAGATGTTTTTCTAAAAACAATCGTTAAAAAGTAATTTTCAGTATCTTATTAAACATATATTTATATTATACATACCCTTTAAATTACAGCTATATTTGTCAATAATTTTATTCCATTAGGTTTCATATAAAACAAGAGATGAGTCTTTGTTTGTATAGAACTCAAAATGAATACATGGATGGAGAACATGACACACCAATGTTAGAAAGTTTTTTAACATTTCTAGCTATATTGGTTAATGTTCGGACAAATTTAGGCAAGTTCTTCATACCATTTTCTTAAGTTCACTAATAACATATGGAATCTACATACATATATGTATATAAAAAATACGATCTTGTTATAGGTTTATCTGACCCTGAAATGTCCCGCCTAGAAATGGTTACTTTATTATCTATGGGAGATAAAACCCATAGTCAATTAATGGAGTTAATGCCCGAACGTTCTGGTAGTACCCAAAATAGAGATTTCGAATCTGTATTATCTGATGTATGTTTTATATTTCTTTAAATAGAATACAATTTTTTTTTTATAAGTACAAATTGTAAAATATGATTTACAGGTTGCAGTGTACAGAGCACCTAATCTTGAAGCTAGTGGAAATATGCAGCAAGGAATGTATGGTCCAAAACCACGTCTAGTTTGGGAAGAATTATTTGATCCTTTACATGTTTTATTAAGAGCAGCACAAAAAGGAGATTTCCAGATGGCAATGGATCGCTTTACTGAATAGTAAATAAACTACATTTGAAAAAATAATTTAAAAAAACATAAAAACGTTGTACTACAGTTCTTTTAATATATATAAAATTATTGGTTTATTTTAATTTTCATAATTTTGTCTAGTTTTTTCATTAAATATTTTGTAAATATTTCAGTGTAAAACAATCAGGAAAATTGAAAAATAGTGCAATTCCATGGCCACCATTTAGGCATCCTGCTCCTGTTTCACCAGCATATGATGATCCACGAATTGTACTACGATCAAGAGTTTTTCATGCTATGATTTTAATAATTTTATATAAGGCTGTGTATGGACACAACATATCAGAGCATGTAATGGCACTGACTATTTACTTATTAGAAATGGCAGTAATTACTGCAGAAATACCTGATAAATCTGTAAGTAACTAATTATAACAGAATTACAGAATTATAAAATAATAATACTATTTCTTTTCATGTTTATCAGATGAATCCTTTGTGTCAATATAGTAGTAGTGACGAATCATCTCGTATAATAAAAGATATGGATCTAGGTGGTTGGTACAAAAGTGATGATTTATCAGAAAATTTGAGGACAGTGATACCTCAAGTCATCCTGATCCAAGAGTCGGAGCCAAGTAATTCAGATAGTGAGTAAAGCTATCATTAAATTACAATGGGTTACATTTTGCTACATATTTTTTATACATTTACGACATTTACCATTTTTTTTAGGTGATTTTGAGTGGGAAATTCAAGGTGAAATGGCTGAGGTTGGAACTTCACTCATGATAAATGATGCAACAGATGAGGGTTCCTTAGAAGTTTTAGCTCTTCCATCTTTAGATACTATTACTAATGACACTGGGTTACAGATTGCTGTGAATGCTTCTTTACCTGCTTTACCTCAACCAAATGGTATGTTTTGTTTCTGTTTTTTCATATATTTTAAGTAATCATATAAAACACACCAGTTAAAAACAAGTTGTAAATTAAATATTTGTGCATTGATAAGCTAATTCCATTTTTATAAGTTTTGTAAATTTTATGTATATATTAAAAACAAACAATCCTTTAATGTTCCTCTACATAAAATTCTTAATCTGTGTTAATATAGGGTACAATATATATCATATTTTATACATATATTATACTGTATGTTCTTAACTATAAAATGGATACTTTGGTGTTGATTAAATCTATTATATAATATCGCAATGATGTCTTATTCTTTTCTTAATTATTTTATAGACCAATTTCAAATAACTTTTGTACCTGAAGATGGAATTGTTACTATATCAGAAGCTAATAGTGAAGATGATTTAATACCTCTACAAAGAGCTTTGCCATCAACCACCGAAGAATCCATGGCCCTTGCCATTGAATCACCTCCTTTACTAAACAGTATGTTACTTAATCTTATCACCTTAACCATAGTTATATCCTTCTTATCAATGTTATGCATTCTGTACTGTCGCAAAATATGTATATACTCTGCTTTTTTCTATGTTAATCATATAAAAAAGACACTAAAACGAATATCTTCTAATTAATATCGTTTTATATTAGAACATGTTTTCATAATCTTGTATTCTTTTTTCAATCTCTATTAACTATATACAGATATTGGTGGTCAACCTGCATTGCCACCTACACCTCAACGGCCTGCTGTTATGGCTGGTAATGAAATAGTTGCTGCACCCACAGTATACTCAAGACTGAGTAATTCTAGAGTAACAACAACAGAAATTGTTCCATCTACATCAAGTTCATATAAACATTTCAAAAGAAGAGATGCTCAGGTAATGATTTACGTATATTCTAGTAAATCAATTGTTATATTTATTAATTTATTATTTTATAAATTTTTTTCTGTTTAGGGTGGATCATTACAATCACAAACTGTAAAAGTAAACGAGAGTATAATCACATTATTGTTAAAATTGCATTCACAGTTGTCAGGTATTCCAGATAGTTATAACCCTGAACAAATTGCAATGTCAGATAATGAAGCTAGTAGCAGTTCAACCATAGAACCAACAGAATCGCGAATTGGTGATGGTCCGTTCTTTATCGCGCAAATACTGAACAAAATTACAAATTTAGATCCTATGTGCAAAGATGCTATAAATGAAGCTAGGAACAAATTATGGCCAAGTATGCAGGAAAGCGAAGATAAACAGCGAGAGAAAGAAGATCGAGAAAGAGAAGAAAGACGAAGACGGGCGAAAGAAAGACAGCAAAAATTAATGGCAGAATTTGCCAATAAACGAAAGCAATTCATGGAAAAAGCAATGGAAACAGGTAAAATATAAAAGATAAAATATGTATATAAAATATAATGAATTTGATGTGCTGTATGTAAACAAAATGTAAATAAAAATTATAATGTTTTGTTTAGATGAAGCAGGGGTATCGGGTATGGATTGGGATCAAAAAGACAATGCGACTAAACTAACTAGCAAAAAAGAATACGATTGCGTTATTTGCAGTCAGAGTAGTCCTAGTACTGAAGATAATCCTATGGGTCTTGTTGTATTAGTTCAAGTAATTAAATTCGTATAATTTTATTCATATAATTTCATTTTTATTGACTACTTACTTAATTCTATATAAATTCTATTCTTAGGGGACAAGTGTGATTGGTCATGAACGACAGCAACCAGATAGATTGCTTTTACCTACTTCTGATGATGATCCGCCTATACCAAAGTGTGATACACGTGGTGCCTATTTTGACCGTAGAATGGATGCAATGGACCGACATTTTGATACTGTAAATATTTAACATATAATATCCATTGAATACAGTAAAACAATTTATATACATTCTTATTGGTGTTTTACAGATTTCGTTGCTGTTATCCGTTAATCTAGGTTGGGAAGGTGGTGTATATGTGCAAACGTGTGGACATCATTTACATTTAGATTGTTTATTGCCATATGTAAAGTCTCTGGGTCACCAACAAAGGCAGCTTTCTCTTGCTGTAGATAGTGGCGAATATCTATGTCCACTTTGTCGACAGTTAGCTAATTGTTTTCTTCCACTTTCTCCTCAATTGGGGAAGCGTGGAACAATCGTCCGATCTCCTTACGTCCCTTTCACTACACTACTCCCAGAGATAAATAATCTTCTAAAAGAGGTACAACGAAACCCATCAACAGTAAGTATCTCAAAAATTTTGTTTACTTGCAGCTTTATATGTTCTTTGCAATTAACAACATATACATTCTTTATAGAGACGAACATTTTTGTCTGAAGCAATGCGTAAAGCAGTACAGGATATGACAAGATGCACAAATTCTAAGTGTCAACAACAACATAGTTACAAGAGTTTGTTCGTTTTCATAACTTCTATAGCACGAACTAATTTTGAAATTGAACTTGTTCAACGTGGTGGATCATTATGTATTCCACCACCTACTACGATACCTTTAAGGCCAAAACGTGATTGCATTGGTACATTTATTTTATTGTTGATGATAGTTAAAAATAACTATGATTGTAGATTTTACATCAATAACATTTTCTTTCAAGTTGCACTTCTTGATGTTCTGGCAAAAAATGCACGTCTATGTATGATTTGGCCGGTACAACACACATGGCAACAATTATCTGGTTTGCCTCCAGAGCCTGCAACTCCACTCGCATTAACATTACACGAGGGAGAAGTCCCCTTACTTCTCAGAGATCCGACTGCTCTTCTTATACAGTTTATATTATTGTTACCTTTGCATGCCGATCAAGGTAAGTAAATAACTTCATTCGTAAATATTTTAGTGATTTCATAAAATTTAATTATTTATTTTCAGCGTATTTCTCTAGTGTAGTAAAAGTAATATACAACTTATTGTACTATCAAGTTATAATACAAATAAGCGGTGGTCTCACACAAGCAGAGAGAAATACATTTTTAGGAGATACATTTTTAAGAGAATGCATCGAGCGCGGTCCTATATCTTCTGAAACTATATTCTGCAAAATCATTGAATATTTCAATAATAGCCCACTCTACCATTCAGATACTGTTTTATATGATCCATCTACTTCATCGTGTACACCATATGCACGAGATAAAATGCACAGTATCGAACAACAGGTAGGTATAAATTAGTTAACATAATTCATAATTTTCTTGTTTTGTTTTTAAGATACTTTGTCACATACATAATTATATCATTTCAGATACAATTTATGTGTTTACCATTTTTACGAGTAGCTGCATTGCTCCGTTATCACTTATATGAGGAACCATTACCTATAATTAGATCACCACAAACTGAATTTGCGAGATTAGTTCGTTATTTGGAATTAGTTACAGAAAATATGGATTGGAACATGTTTAACTCTGCTGTAGCTCTGAACTGGCAAGATAGCGAAACTAGTATATCGGTGCCCCGTATGTGGTGTGATCAATTCCTTGCTTTTGTAAATCAAAGCGATGCAGGCAGGTATTTAATTATGGAACAGCATGTGTCGTGGCAAGTACCCAAGTTGCTGAGCCTTCCAAGGGAATATGAGAAGATTTTCACAGTATGAATATATATAATTATAGTTTATGTATCATTTTATACTTGAATATTAAAACCTTATAAATGATTATTCATTTTTAGTATTATCATGGAAGACAGTGTCGTCAAGGTCATTCAATTCCTCAGGAGATTAGTATCTGTTTATTGTGTGGTGCCATCGTTTGTTTAAAACAAAATCGCAAGCAGTGGAATGTATGCGAGGTTGTTCAAGTAAGTACTTTATCTATATATATATATATGTTTTCCTTTGTATGAGCATAAAAATATATGAGTTATATAAACATAATTCTTCCTTGGTTTATAGCATTCGATAGATTGTGGAGGTGGAACTGGTATATATTTGGTGGTAACATCAACCTATATTGTAGTAATTCGTGGTCAACGTGTCTGTTTATGGGGATCTTTATATCTCGATGATTTTGAGGAAGAAGATAGAGATCTGAAGTAAGAGCCTCACTTTGATATCAGATAAGATATTGAAAAATTGCAATCTATTTCTTAATACATTTATATTGGAATTTTTGTTATATTATTTTACCTCTCTAGAGATATATCAATATTATACTGCATTTATTAATTTCTTTTTATAGACGCGGGAAACCTCTGTACCTAAATCAAGATAGGTACCAATTGTTAGAACAGCAATGGCTAGCGCATAGGTTTGACCATACGAAAAAAACATGGGTATGGCATCGTGACATACTGTAACATTTTACAGTGTTGAAAAGTACTTACTCTAAAATGAGTAGAAGACTTTCAACAGGTTTATTTCCATACAATGCCTCGCCAAGAAATAACATCGCTTTAAGAATTAACAGATTGCTCTAATATACTTTATGGATAATTATATTTATTATGATGCAATGAGTAAGTAGACATAATATTGAATGAAAGTATTACGAGAAAAAAATGAGGTGAGAGCTGAATTATTATTGTTTATAGTCATAATACATGAAAGATTATATCCGAAGAAATTTATGTTTTGAATTACACATTGTACATTCTATTTAAGTATATACATATAAATTATGTCCTAATAAAAAAAATACTTTTTAGTGTGTAGCATTTGTACTTAAGACACGAGAACTATTCAATTCTTTTAATCGAAATTTCGGTTACGCTAAGAATTAGATAAATTATATCATTGAAGATAAATATCATTATTAATGAAATCATAATTTTGTCTGTTAAGGAGGATTGAATTTATTGTGTGCTTCTTTTTAATGTAGGGAAAATATGGAAAGAAAATCCGTTATATCCTATAATTTATTATCATAATTACTCTGTTAATTACAAAAAAATCTTGATTCAAAATTTTCTTTGCATCCGGGTTATTCAGAAATAGAATATTTTATAATTCATTAATAAATCAAGAAAAATACTAAGGATTATATTAGATCTACAATCTATAAACATGACAAAATCAAAGACTGAAGTCTTTATAAGAACTTTATCTCTGAATAAATTTAATAACAAGCTCGAATTTAAATCCCTATATAATTTTGTTGCAACTCATAACACGTTTTACTCTGATTCTAAATTTATATAAGCAAGGTAGAAGTATTGATCATGCATGAATTTTTAATTAGAAGGTAAAGGGGTAATTGTCATGTTAAATTGGCGGAGATGTTAAGAAATAATTTTCTAGAATGATACATTAACTGTAACAAGAACGGCATGCAAATTATGTTTGGAATATTAAATTAACACGTGTTTTTATTGTTAAAAGATCCTGTGTCAGCAATGTAGTAGTAAGTGAGATTGTTATTAACACCATAAACGATATTGTAAAACCTTCTCTTGTAAAAATAGTTTTTGTTCTAATTTAATAATGTGAATTTTTCGCAACAGTTCATGAGAAACTATAGGAAATCCTTCACCGATCAGTGAACTCGAGATTCAAACAATATTTGATGCATTATTTTTCTGTATGCATATTTATGGGCTGTGTATATGAACCTATAAACTCATTTTATTGAACGAACTATTTATCTACTCGCTGATTTTTTTTTCGCACCGGTGCATAAATGCTAAGTAATTGTACTGTGGCAATTAAGTTGTTATTGTTTTTGAAGAAGCAATTTATATGCACACATTTAACTAAAAACTGATCTTAAATCTTCATTAGCATACATTTCGATTTTTAATAAATTAGTATTTATGACAAAAAAGTTTTCCGTTTGAGACTTCAATTTTTGTGAAACTATGATTACACAGGCAAAAAATTGCTTCTTCCAAATTATAGATCACTGTAAATGTGTAATAATGATAGGACGCCACATAGTAGAATTACTGGTTAACTCAAGATGATCTGTACATAGTTAATTATTTTTACGAATGTCCGCTTATAATGTTAAAAATTTGCGAATAATACATTAAGAAGTGCTAAAAAATAAATAATAATAGCAATTATCAACTCTGTTCAATGTATAAATAAAAGCAATTCTATTAAATGAAAAGATTGCCTTATAATCTATAAGCATTTTTATTTCTGTAACTATTTTTTAAACAATATGTAAAGTAAGTAGAGAAAGATGAAGAATCATTTATTTTCTAGATAATTATTACAAGTAATTTATGCTTTTGGCAGATGCAAACACGTTTTGTGAAATCGATAAAGTTATGTAGATGCAATTTTATCGTAAATCTAACGATTATTACAATATTATTTATATCAAAATCATTTTCTGCTTTTGTTACGAAAATGAGAGTCTAGTTTTTATTATTATTCAGTTATTCTTCTATTTAACAAGTGCTACAAGTTTCATGATAGAGTACTACTAAAGGTAATATAATTATTGTTTTTACTTCTTCGTTCTCATTAAAACATCTATTTAAATTGTTTACACTATTTAAAAAAAAGCGAATGTTGTTTAAACATACAATGAAAGAAAAGTGCCAATTAATGTTTACACCTTATTAATGAAAACAGAAACTATATTACTTATCTGTACAAGAATAAATTTTATTACAATTTGTAAAAATTTTGTCCTGTTAAATCAATGAATAAGTATTTTGTAATGAGGATGCCCGTATAGAATCATATAGCTTCAAACTATATATATCAAAAAATTGTTTAAATCTGTAAGTCTTTGGCCCAATGCTTAACTTCAATATAAATCAAATAGCAGTTTTTGAAAAATGAGAACCTCTTTACTAAAGTTTATACATAAAGTATAACTATACAATAGTCATTTTTATTATGTATAGTGATTTGAAATTTTGTCCTTGTTGTATATAATTTACTGATAATAACATAAAATGAAATCTAAAATAAGAAGTTCTTCAGAAACATCCACATTACTTACATCGAATTAATTTCTTCATAATTTATCCATGAAATGTAATTTTTTGCATACCAGTAATGCATATCTTTTGAAGTAGAAAATACCTTTGTTAATATTAAAATTACATAGAAAAGGCAAAGGGAAAATATTACAATTATCTCTTTTATTATAGACGTACCTTAAACGCAACAATTTTGTTTAAATCATATTCATATTATGTAATATTTACCGTATTTCAATAATGAAATTAAAACTTTCGGAAACTCCCGCGATCTAAATCTATAAATTTGGAAATCCATAGAATGCAAATATATTGCCAAATGTTATTAATAGACAAAACTCACTGTATTTAAGGCATGATTCTTTTTCAGTTGTTTCTTTTTTTTTGTTTTTGCTGGATGAACATATACATTGTATGAAACTGACTGTTGATGGTCCTTAAACTTGCCACGTTACAGGAATGTAGAACTGCACATCAAAATGTTACGTAAAAAACCAAATTACATGTTTCTTTAACATACATATATATATACTGATAAACTTGTCCATTTCTTTACGATAGTCACTTTCACTTTAAAAGATATTGAAACTGAATAAATTTCTTCAGTAGCGACCACCTGTTTGCTCTTGGTATACTTCAATAACATCATCATTTTCCATTTCCAACTAAAAAACAATATTAGTATCATATTATCATTGTACAAAATGGAATTATATTAGCTATAAATGTAATAATAAAATTAATCTAAAAAAAAGATAAATTGTGATAAAATTTTATTCAATTTTAAATTATTTATTTTAAAGGCGTAATGGTAATGTAAGGTAAAGGTGTAGTGAATTCCTACTTCTACAATAGTTAATTAAAAATTTTAAGCTTATATAGAAATTTACCTGCTTTGGTGTTTCGTCGTCATTAATTCTTTTACCATCAAATAAAAACCTGAGTGATGTCATAGGAACACCCTAAATAAAACATAAACATGTTTTAAAATACACAAAGATAATATTACTTTAGGTACTTTCGCAATAAGAGATAAAATTATCACTTTTTTCTATTTTTGGAAGATTAAAAATACTTCCGTAAATTACATTTATAAATATAGGATATATATAGAAATTCATTCAAAACTAAAAAGTCTTCTAGTCGCAATGATGATATAAAGTTTTCATGAACTTTTTAACTTATACTTTTACTGTACACGATTTCAGTTAGTTATCACATGTCATGTAAAAAATAAAATAAGAAAATTTTTGCGCTATCTTTTTTAATAAATTATTTTTTGAAATGCATGACATTTAGAAACACGCTTATTTTAAAAAGTGGACTAACCACACGATCGCTGTACGATTTCTTTAATTTACCCATTTGAGTGGTCATCTTTACCCTAAAGTGAATTTCATTGCTGTCCTAAAAAAAAGAAATTATGAAACCTGTCATTAAACGTTATGGAGCTAAGACGTGAATATAAAAGAATAAGACGGCAACTTCTTACATTTCCAACAACTTTAAGCTTGATGTATTCGGAATTCGCGTCGCCTGGGCCGGCTTCAGGTTTTTGCTCCTAATACGCAAGGTTAGACCGATTAGATTCAAAATATGATTGAACATTCAAATGTTATGTTACATCTATACCACGAAATGTAGGTCAATAAATTGCTCTTTAAAATCGGGAAGCTCACCTGATTATCAGACATGGTATTTAATTAAATATAATAGTTCTTGACCACGCGCCAGAACAGTAACCAAACACAAGCACGCAATATGGCGCCGCACTTTTGTCAGTTTCACAGTCTTCTATTCTAAAAATGAAAATTTTAACGTTGTGTAGTTATTTTCGTTCCAAAAGACATCAGCTTCTGACAGTTCCGCTTAAACATCATCTTTCAAAAGTTAATCATTGTTTATATATCTATATATACTTATATATGTATATATGTATATGAACGCTAGATAAACATTCATCTTTATCAGAATAACAAAATATTATTGTGATAAGACATTCATCAGATAAAATATGACTCTTCTTTCCTCTTCTTATGCTTAACAAGTATATATGTATATATATGTATAAATATATATATATATATACTATGGATTACTTCTATGTTAATCAGTTAATTATATTTGTCTTGTTATGCTTTATGAACACATTATAAATTTGTACGTAAACTTATATTTGCATCGAAAAAATAGCATTTTTCTAAAATTATGTATTATATTCAATAATGTATATCTACAATTATAAAGAATATAAAAATGTCTAAAATTAGAAAAAAGTCATGCCAAACGATTTCGATTTCTTAAATATCTAGTTTTTAACGTTTTTATTATATGTATGTCATTAAGATTATATATTTGCACTTGTTAAAGTTCTTATTGGTTATATAATTATTTTGATAATAAAATAATCAGATAAATATTTAGAACTAATAGCGAATTACTTAATGAAAAAATCACCTCGGTACATGTTACCAATCACAAATTAATGTAAAGCATATAATTCGTTACATAAGAATCAGATTTAATGGTCATATACACTTGAGATACAATACTACCAGGAGATAAGTTGAAACACCTTGCAAATTTTATAGTACGTCTAATCATAGTATGCCATTAATGTTTTGACGTGTTATTTTTTTAACCGAATAAACAGCGAATTAGTCGCGAAAATTGGCTGAAAACATATAAATACTTTAGGTAAATGTTATTCATTTCCGATTTACCTGCGATTTATAATTGAACTCAAGATAATTGTAAAATGAGGAGGTTATGTGCATATCGTTTAGTTTATTTCGTACTTTTCGGAATTTGTGAAAATAGTATTAATTTCTTAAACATGAATGTTTGCACTTTCTTCCCAAAATATATTGATATAGTTAATGAATAGAGGTCTGAAATTTCATGCAAATTTTAAGTTATCGTTTGATATAAGGTTCGATCAAACTATTACTGAGGAAGTCTTAAATTCTAGCAACCTTGAATTCGTTTTTATAATTGATGTTAATAATTTGGTATATTAGCAATGTTCTTAAACTATCAAATCGCATTTGTACATGCGAATTATTATTTATTCGAATGTTCAACAAGTATTTTTCACTTTGATTGAATTTCTTATCTAATTGGATCTGTAACATTTGCCGGAGTTCATTTCAAGACATATTGTATATTTTTTGTTTAGATTTATTTGCAAAAATATATTTAGTAATATAAAAAAGTAATGTATTCATAATGACGATGAAATATTTAATTAGATTTATTAATACAAGCGGAACTTATTATATATATATATATATAATAAGTTCCGCTATATATATATATATATTAATGTCTTTTTCTAATAACTTTTCTATTTACTTTTGTTCTTTACTTTTAAGTTTATGATTTCAGTAAAGTATTTAATATTTAATTCTTTATAGTTATATTTGGTTCTTATCTGTTTTTCCAATTTCATTATTTATTTACATATTTAAGGGGTGAAACTGAAACTATAGTATTTATGTAATAAATAGGAAATGTTGCTATAAGTATGTAGTTTAGTTGAAGATGTTTTAATAGGAATATTGCAATGTACATATGAATTTATAATCATGATTAAAATAAAAATTTTATTGTAAAAAGGTAAAATGATGCAAGATGAGCATCTGGGTGGTCCTCCAAGACGAAATGTTTTTAGTCAAGCAATAGGAAGAATATCACAGGTACTTAGTTATACTTCTTGAAGCTTTATTTTTTGAAATATTTTGTTTTATTGTTAATTGTAGTTCCTAATTGTGCTAATGTGTTAAATATGTATTTAAAATATAATATATATGTATATATTTATTGTTAAATACATGTATTTTTATTACAGTTATATCAAAGATATTTGGACCTTTGGACTCCTCACGTAGTGTCAAGATGGACAGTGGCTTTTTTTCTAGTATTTGTTTTTTCTTTACGTATACTTTTATCAGAGGTAAGTTAAAGCTTAAAATATATTCTCTTCTCTTCTCTTTATAAATTTAAATATATTCTCATACTTTTTAGGGATGGTACATTGTTACATATGCACTAGCAATTTATCACCTAAATTTATTCATAGCATTCCTTACTCCTAAAATTGATCCTGGAATGGATTTTGATGGTAAGCGCATATAAATTTATGAAAATTATTAGTTATTAATATGAAATGAAATTAAATAGAAATTATGATGGTAGAATTTTATTTAGTGAATTATACTTCCATGTAACTTTAGTACTTAAACAAATTTCACTTCCATTTCTACAACACACTTTTAACAGAATTTCTTGATAGATGGCGAAGGACCAGAATTACCTACAAGATCTAACGAAGAGTTTAGACCATTTATTAGAAGGTTACCTGAATTTAAATTCTGGTATTCTGTGATGAAATCTACAATTATTGCTATGATATGTACTATGTTTGATTGTTTCAATGTACCAGTATTTTGGCCCATACTTGTCATGTACTTCATAACACTATTTTGCATTACTATGAAACGTCAAATAAAGGTAATATAATATTAAATATATTGATGAAGTTGAGTAAAAAATATTTAAAAATATAAAATAACGAATTTGAAATTGATTTGCAGCATATGATCAAATACAGATATTTGCCGTTCACTTATGGAAAACCAAGTTACCAGAATCACGAGGATACTTCGAGGTTAATACCTTCAAAGTGAATTGGTGTGAAGTATGTTTGTTGATGGAGGTGCATAAGTGTGTAGATTTCTATTTTCCCAGTACCATGTGAAAAAAAATTTTTGGATTTGAAAGCAGTCAGATTCTTTTATCAATGACATTACATATAAATAAAATCATTGCCTTCTACAAGAAAAGGTTTAATCCATAAAAGGTGTAATACTAAAAGTATAATGTTATATGGTATATAAACTGAATTGTCGTAATATATTTGTATCATAAAACTTGTACAAAGTATTGTTAGGTCTTACATAAAGTGGTCACAATAACAATGTGAACATTACATCAGTTGTTAATGTAATATTAAATTAACATTGGATGTGAAGGAAAACAAAGATAATTCATATATATATTAGGTTTGTAATCTAAACAATAGTACCGTTTTTTTTTTTTTTAGTACATTGTGCTTTTTCGTTATGACATTCCATATAGAAGATTACATTTCTTCTCTTAATTTTTAATATTTTTAAATTTTATTCAAAATTTATCCTGTTGATTCTGTTGTGTAAGATTCAGTTGTGTTTTTGTTGTTAAAAATTGTAATTGCAAACTAGTCTCCTTTTCAGTAACAATAACAATACGCATTTTAACTATCTAGCTTGATAAATTTGTTCTCCACTGAAAAGAAAGTTAAAATCCTTTCGACTGCTTATGGTATATATTTGTAGTTCGTGATAGACGGCATCTAATCATTTTTATTGAATGAATTTATTATCGTAAACAATTTAGTCCAATTTACCGTAACATAAGACATGTTGTCTTAATAGAACTGCGTTCTTACATCGATAGGCATATATTAAATGGTAGTTTAAAACGACAACACATTGAATAACATATACCATTCATGACTCTTCTCTAATTTGTCTCTATACAAATTTGTATATATGAAGTTATTTAATAAACATACACGGATCGCCTGATTCATAGTAAAATAAATGTTAAGTGATAGCGTTATTTAGGGGGTGATTTCTTAAGGTCCAAAGATCATGTATCTGTTACGTTATTTTATCTGATGTTTTACATTGTACCATTTTTACAAATGAAACGAAATTATAGTACATTTATTTACTAAAAATTATCGAATATTTTACAAATTTTATACAAGTTTTAAATTATATTATAATATACACATATATTGCTCAGAAAATTTTTAAATTATATATCGCTTCATGGTTATTAAATGTGTTTGATATTATTCAATATATTTTCATTTTCCTATCATTTTTAGCCTGTTTAATATTAATAGTTTTGGACTGATTAACTTATGTTAAACTTTAATCTGTACAAAATATAAGTTCATTTGATTATATTTCAACGCAAAAATAAAGTTTTACGACATATCAGGTACCATTTCTTCGGTCTTTCACCTCATAGCTACTTAAAAATAATTATCTTCTTGGATCTTTGGACAAAATTTGAACCCCGAGTAACGTACTCTCCTGTTACTATTGGGCATAATATTACTTTATTTTTCTTTTATGCACACATACACACACACATATATATGTGTATATATATATATATTGCTCCAAAGATAATCGAAACGAATTGTTTCTAATACAGTGTCGATCATTGTAATGTTCTTGAAACTTTTTTTATAGATACAAGCACACGCATCACGTACGATATTGTGTAACATGTTTTATAAATCTTGATACATGTAAAATACGATAGTCGGTCATTTGATATCACTAAATAACGTGAAATGGAAAAGTTTGCGATATGTACACGGACTTGGGAATATAGTGATGCCCGACGTTTTACGGAAGTGATTGTTAATAAGTATTTACAATATATTTTCGATACTCAATAAAGCTTTCATGCTTGCAATGGAGTCAAAATAAATAATGTTTTCATTAACAGTTTGTTATAATAATAAATACTTTTTCTCTCTTATTAAAATATTGATACAAATACTTTACTTACTTACAAATACTTTTTTTATTTATATTTCAAAACAAAAATGATATTTAACAAGGACGATCATAAATTTGTAATAGCAACACGATGAAGCTAAAAGATATATTTTCCTTAAACGTATTATTTATTATTGTTTTAATTAATTTTTTTATAATTTTTAAATGTCAATTATGGACAAACGTAAATACCTAACGGTGTAGTAGGCAAGTTTTTGTGTTGAAATAGTTTTTTGTGCGGATATGTATAATATGTTTTCGCATGCAAGGTAACTTAACGGAGTTCATTTACGATTAAAAAATTCTGCCCTTTTTCTTTTCCAAATAATTAAATTCGCACCAGAGATATCAACACATACAGCGATGCTAATGCACGTTTCTGACAATAGAGCTATTTTTAACGATTCTTTTATCCTTTTTTTTAATCGCAATCGAAACTGGGTAGAATAACAGAAAATTTTAATAATAGTACAAAGCAGTTTTCCACTTTTTAACTATAAGTACACATATACGTATATAATAAATATAAAAATATAATAAAATACTTTTAATATATTTATTAATTTATAACATCTATATATTATTATATATTTAGTACATTTATTATTAAACAATAAAATACATTTAAGAAGAAAGTAAAACATATATATGTATATTAACGGTATTTCATTTCTAGAACTATCACCCAGTTTGAATTGCTAATTTCTCTTCCGGAATTTCTTTGTTCTTTTACGCTGCAAACTTTGATTTCAAATTCTCAATTCAGAAAATCGAAATTTTTACGTTTGACGATAATAGAACGACGAAAAAAATCGATAATATACCATAGAAAAAAGGGAGAATAAAAAAAGAATTCTCACGGATTTTTCTTTTTTACAGGAGTCCACTTGTGGAAGTTTGATGATGGGTGTCGTAGAATTTAAACAGGGAAATTGTTTTCCCTCTGATTTGAACGCGTTCGTGTTTCTCTTGAGCTGAACAGACGTGAAACGAAGTAATGAGATTAAAAAAATAATACTTAAAAAAAAAAAGAAAAGGAGAATAAAAAAGAACAGAAGGGAAAATGGAGTAAAGCGAATGTGGAGGAGGCGAAAGTGGCGAGGCACGAATGGAACGTGTGAATGGGCAAGAATGCGAGGCTACCCTTTTCCCAACGAAAATGGTAATTCAAAATAAAAGCATCGATGCATTGTTGTATATCCTCAGATCTTTTTTAATTTCTTCAACCATTCCTTACGACGAATCAATACGATATATTGTTCCCTTGAAAATGACGCTGTTGTGGAGCACTAAAGATCTGAGAAATATTCTTGTGGATTTGTTCGTTTTTCTGTGTTTTAAAACAAATTTTACGATTGACGGGAGAGAGAAATCTAATATTTTTATTTTAGAGATATATCCGGCGTTGTTTTTGTTTGTGCTTTAACAAAACTAGCAGGAGTTTAAGAGTCCTCAGGAGACTTGTTATTTCACAAGAGAAAGATTTTATATTTTATACATTAAATAGTTTGACGCATATATCAAGTACATCTTAGGAAAATATCAATTGTAAAGTTAATTTAATTACCGGTAATTTTATGAATATCTTGGAAATGAGATGGTTGATTGCGAAATTGAAAATGAAAACTAAAAACAAAACTAAAAAGATCGAATGTCGTCACTTTTTCCAAAGCATCGTTTTATTTCATTTGTTTCCGCGTATATTACGTGTATATTTTGGCAATGAAAGAAAGAAATCGTATCAAAAAAAGGAAATTTAATCATCCATTCACAATCAATTTCTATCATATTACAATGCAATTAATTTATACAAATACTATATTGAAAAAATGCTAATTCCAGAATAATAGAAATTAGTTTTATTTTGAAAATGAAAAAAGGCGAAAACATATTAAAAAGTATAAATCATAATATATAAATATGTTTAACTTTTTAATTTCCATTATTTTACGAACAATTCTGTGACAAAGTATGACTACTTCCCTTTCGTTTCCAACATTTGTAAAATTCATAACAATCAATTTACTTTCTTATACATATTCTTGCTCAAAATATTTCACACTGGCAAACGTAAACCTCCTTCAAATAATAAATAACAATTCTCCATCTTCCCAAATAATTATTTCTTCCTTTGACGATCAGATGAAAAGAAAATGACACTTACAAGCAAAGAAAGAAGATTGGTATCTCTTAGACCTTGATTTGCTTAAGAATATTTTTTCAAAAGAAGAATGTTTAACAAATTCTTCGATAATGGTTCTAATCGGTCCATTGGCGAGATCAGAATCGTTCCTATTCGTTCAGATCCTCCGAGATAGCCTTTTTCGATTTATCTAGGAATGTGGTCGTCGAGTTTAATCCTATTACGGTTGTTGTGGTCGTCTCGCTTACGGATGAATCCCTTTTTCTGTATGGGTTTGACGGTGGGCAGTACAATCTGTAAATTTTCACCATTAACGACTTCGAAAAGCGATTAACCATTCTAAATCGTCCCCATTTATTAAGCGTTTTAATTTTCTACAGTTCTTCTAAATTAATCATTAGATGCGCAACAATCACGTGAACGCAGTTTGCATAGGAAGTTTCGCTGATTTCTTCGAACGAAATATTGAGTGACGAAAGAACACAAAAGAAAGTTAAATAATTAAGCAATAAGGGAATAGAATACCTTATACTCTCTGTTCTCGAACGGGGAGACCAATTGTTATAATACCTTCTTTCTGTGTCCAGATCGCGAGCTGTTGCCCATCGTTCGATATGGTGTTTCACTGTGTTTTGAACCTCGGTGTTTAGAAAACAGTAAAATAACGCGACGAACAGGCCCTGAAAATATCAAGTACTCGTTAAAGTATACTATGTGCATTAAGATGATTTTTAATCTTTGACGTCGAAGCTTTTCTTTATCTTATCGTGTAATTTGCCAGAGAACTGTTTCTCCATCCTTTTAAGAATTTAATTTATCTTTTCCTAATCTATTCTTTGAAATTCGTAATACATACAAATTTTCTTTATTCCTTCTCTCCCACTCTCCCACTCTTCCTCTCTCTTTCCAAGATAAGGAAACTAAGGATGCATAGTTCCTTTCGAAGTATTTTATCCATTTAAGCTTTGAACTTTGATGTTGAAAAGTCGATAAAGTAACTTTATTAAAAAAGAAACTTTGCAGAAGATACTAATGCGTGCGATTACTTTATCGGTAGCTTGAACATGCGTTTATCAAATTACGGGTTCCTACGTATTCTGTTTTATATGAAAGTTCTGTGAATATCAGATTCTTTTAAATATGCTTGGATCGACGTGGCTTTGAAGCTTGCCATCTCAAGATAAAATAAAATAACCAAAGTAACAAGATTTATGGAAGAATATAAACTTTGTAACTTTACCGCGTATTTTGTAAGGGACTCGTATAGTTTTTTATGGATCAAATCTACGGAGAATAGAAAATTCTTTTGGATAAATACTTTCCAAATATTTGTTAATACGGTGTGTAGGAAAACGTTTTGAATAAATATTGTCTTAATGTTTTGATGCGAAAATTTCATTTTCGTTTGAAAACTTCCTTTCCCAAATTTTTATTCAGGAAATTTCTAACTATCTGTGGAGTGTTCTGTTTCTTGTATTAGTCTACGTTACTTTATAACAACAATTTACGACATATGTTTCTTATCGTTGCAGACGGAAGTCCTGGCACTAGAAAAATGAGAATAAAATCATCTCCAGGAGGAAGAGATAATAAGAAGTGAGAGATTAAAATTTCTCGTGTCTGAAGTTGTGAATACCGACGAACCAACAAATTTTTTCTAATTCGAGCAATTTCGCTTTCAAAAACTCAATAGCGTTTCCTCGATTATAAATTTTGTCAAAGAGGAAGAAAATTACCGCTTCTTGATCGAATATATGGATTAATTAATAGAGGGTTACTCGAGGTTTGGTAATGTATAAACGAGTGCAAAATCTGTGACATATAATTTTTAAATAATATTACATTCGAATACGTATAAATATATACGTATAAATTAACATAGATTTTAATTTTTTCATTGCGTAATAAATTTTAAGAATAAATTGTATCGTGTTATAATATTCTACGATGGGTTTGACAAAGGATAAAACTGTCCTGGAATTTTTTATTTATAATTCTATAATTAAGTTATGTTCTATCGAAAATACGCAAGTGTTTGCATACATTTACACGTTAGGGTACAAAGAAACGTTCAAATAGACGAGATACGAGATAAAGGGAATAAAGGGAAAGCAACGGTTACAGAGAGTCCACGGAAAGAAATGCATCCATGTTTCATCAAAAGGAAGAGTAACGCGCTACAGATGAGACCCTTTTCGAGATTTTATACAGTGAGGCAAGCTAGTTCTTGTAACGAGATATATCTTTCAGCTGCATTACCTGTGAAGAAAGGAACGCGGCTCGAGTGTAAGAGAATGCATTAGCAACCTGACCCTCCGTTGGTCCCGTCAGTACCAGCACGTAAGTTACTCCAAGGAGAGGTATCAACACGAGTAACGCTTTACTCGCCTTTCGATACTGCTGGGTTTCTGCGTTCGTCGCTGACCAGAGCTTTGTTATCAGCACCTGCAACGAAGAATCGTTGTAACGACGATTAGACAGAGGAAAGTTTAGATGGAGAATAAAATAAAATAAAATAAAATAAGTAGAATTGTACTTCTGAAAGATGGCGATGATTGATAGAGATAAAATTTAATGGGTATCATATTTTGTAAAATAATGTGTTTAACTATAAGTAACATTCGCTTACGCTTTTACCATAAAATCTAATTGTTTCACTGACAGGGCTTCGTTGCTGACGATCGTGTTGTTGATGTTACCTCAGATGTTAAAAAAAGAGAAAAAATCGGCCGTTTCAGTATATGTACTCACCCACATTATCATGAAAAGAAACATCACGTTGATGCATAACACCAAAATAGCGGGGGCTTGGTAGAACCAGTCGTAAGCATGTGACACCATCCAGGGACAGTGCTTGCCCAATGCAACTTCCTGTGAACATTGTTGGCTACAGTGCTACTGGAAACTAAGCCAATTCTCGGTTAACTTTATTAGCAAATGTCGCGTCGTTCAGTTTCTTTCCCTCATGGTTTCTTTCAGCTCGTTGACTTTATCTATTTACTACGTAAGACGTCGGGAAAGTTTTGCTGTACACCGAGAGAAGCAGATACAGATGCATGAGTCTCTTTCCTAGGAATTAAACGCTCAATTTTAAACCGCTGGGGAGCGAATAACGACTCGGAGCATTGGACATTGCGTAACATAAGTTACTTAATTATAGACATGTTGGATTGTTGGAAACTTCTCTTGGAACGTAAAATAACTAAAAAAAAAAAAAAAAAAGAAGAAAGGTCTATGTAATATTTTATCTTCGATTGAAGAATTAAAACTGAACCGTGGGAACACGGTTTCAACAAAGGTGAAAAGTCCTTAATTAAATGCGTTTGCTGACGTACATCCCTTGAGAATATCTTTCCCTCTTCCTGTTACATCGTATCGACTACTCTTCTTTGTCCTTATTTTTCGTCCACATCGCGTACCTCGCCGGTATGTTAACGCGGATCGTGTCTCGAAACCTACATTACGATATTTTTCGATATTATCGGCATTCATAGCAGGAAATTAGGGTATCGTCGAAAGTTTGAGGATCTTGGTGTCACGTATTCTCCCTGATCATATAATACAATAAGTCGCAAAAATATTCATATTGTCAATTGTCGCCCTCGATAGATAAGAATTGTAAAATATATAGTGTAAGAATAACATGAATCTTTCACAGTCGGCAATAAGGGTAGTATGAATACTTATGTGAGTCATTATAGTACGTAGTATGAGGCGCGAAGCACGTATTATGTATATTTCTTATATCTTACGGTTTTAAAATACCTGTAGAGGACTTGTGTAGAGGAGGTTGATCGTGACATTTATATGACGAGATCGCTCGTTGTTGAAACCGTCATGTGTATTTTAAAATAGTTAATAAATAAGTACAGATAATGTTCGCAAAGACGTTCGTACTAACGGATTCGCTAAGACAGCGTATAAGTCGCAAAGTAAGATCGCTGATAACTCGTTGATAACTGACAGACACTCGGTAGATACTGTTTCGCGCGACTAACTGATAACTGATAAATAACTGAAATCCTTACGATCAACTATCCTCTACACAAGTCCTCTACATTGGTGACCCCGACGAGATTTGAACACGACCAAACAATTCAACCATACAATCGTACTCTACAAGTCTCCAAATACCCGTATTAATTAATTTAATTTCGTAAGATTTCACCTTTTGTGAAACGCGATGGAACTCTGTGAAGAACGATTGCTTCGACCACTCCAGGTACAAAAATATTCAGATGAGAAAAAGATAATAAATAAGTTGATAATAAAATAATAATTCCGACGTATAATAACGCAATAGATATTTCAATTCGTTCTTTTCTAGTTATCTAGTCTTTTTAGATCTTTTGTTCATATTCGAAGTTTATGTAAATTTTCTCGTACCTGATTTGGTTGGATCATGATACTTTGATCCAACGATTTGGCGATACCCCACATGGTGATGAAGAGGACTGGTATTCCTGGAATTATAATACGGCATACTTAAAAACACAATAGCTTTTTGCTAGAAAAATTTGTTCACAGATTAAGATTATTGCAATCGATAACAATAAAAAATTATATAGAAAATTTCAGACTGTGTGAAGTAAGACAAATTTTAGAGAGCAAAGATAAACAAATTTTTTTTCCAAATTTCGCATAGTCGGATTGTACGCATGCTTCGGTGACTAAATCGTTCTTTTTCTGCAACGGGGATACGTTGCGAATTCAAAACAGTCGATATTGATTTTTAGTTCATCGAGTCGAAGCATAAAATCCTGATTATTAAGATTCTCTGCGCTTCGAATATGAATTTCACGGAAAGTCACAGTATGAACGAATATGTATCTTCCGCTGAGTGAGAAAAGAAATATTAGGTTGGTATATTTGGAATACCGAATTTTAAAATCAAACTTTCCTTATACGCAGTTTCTCTTTTATTTATTTCAGCGCCGAGCGTGGTCATTCGTTAAAACGTAGCTGTTCTCAAAATACATAATACCAGAGTAATAAAAATTATCAATTCCAGACATTAAATTTATGTTCCCGGTAAAACTTGCTCTACAAAGAATACAAAGTTTGCACGGTGTTTCTTCGTTGATCCGAGTTACCGAGTGAGTAGCAGTGCTTTGAAGAATAAAAATGATGTGAAACTTTACCCCATCCTATAACAAGACACAGCTTCAACTTGATATTATCGCCTGTGAAAGTCTTGACGACCAGTAGGAACAGATACAGGCCTGAAATAAAAATACATAATTTACATATAATTTGTGTAATTTACAATCATTGATACGAATAACAGATTATTTAAATAATTTCAAGGTCACGAATAAAATTATTCGATACGAAAAATAATAAGAAGGAATGTCGCGATTCGAAATCCGAAATTGTAATATCGACAGACCGAATCAGATTACCTTCTACGAACATCCAAAAGTAATTAGTCAATTGGAAATAATTCAGCAGAGACAGGAAAACGATACAGGTTGGCACGTCCGGTTGCATGGACACCTGGAATAATTGTTCAATTTAAAAATTAAGCTGAACGATGATCCAACGCTCTCGTACAACTCGACGGGATGTTCCATTTTGCATTTATGCAAAAAGAAAAGAGTAAAAAGAGAAAAATTATCTATGGCATGCGTGTGCAAATTTTATCATCCGTAATGAAAAATTGTATTTCTATACGCGTATAAGCACCTACATAAAACATTTTAATTTACATATAAATGTAGTATCGTATCTAGGGTAAACATTTTATCTTTCTTAATGGAACCTCGTGTTTCTGTCCGACCTGTTATATTTTAATCCAGTATAATTGAATGTGTATACATTTTTCAATTTTTTTAAAACGGGAAACCAACTAAAATCATATACCTATCGTATCGAGGTACCATATTAAACATTTGAGATATCATCCTAAAAAATGAATTTTTATATTTTCTCAATTTCTTTCGTTTCTATAAATGAAAGACAAACTGTAGAGCATATTATTTTAATCTACGAATTTCTGTGATTTAAAATTGAATAAAATTCTGAGTATTATTATTTCATTTTCAGTTGCAGTAGTTGCAGATGAACTAAAATAATCCCGTATATGGAGCGCATTATCTTCATTTATAATGGTGTCTATATTAGGGAATAAGTATGAGTTAAACAAAATGGAAACGAGGAAGAGAAAAAGAGTCGAAGGAGGTCGAGTAAGTCATTAGAATTTCTTAGTGGTAAATCAATAATAGGAAAGCGTTGGTTTCGGAGTGTGTAGTATATATTAGATAAATTTTATAATAATTCATTTTTCTAATTCTATTATGTTCTATTTCTTTCTATTTGTCTATTTATTTCTCTATTTCTGTTGTATTTTTTCGAAATTTGCAACGATAGAAAAACACAATATATCGGAGATGATCTAATTATATAATAACAATAAAACACTTGTATGATTTTACAAACTGTAAAATTTCTTTTACAGTTGATACGATATTTCTTAATGAAAAAATCAACTGGAAGTATTTTCTACCACAAAAACCTTATCACCTTTAACCGAAACATTTATTTTTTCCTCGTTACACGCATTCCTCCTATGTGACGGCCACATACAGAGGGAAACATGGTAGAAGAATTGGAAATTAAAAGCAGCCCAGTGAATTGAATTTTACGTGAGGCCAATTTCACCGTAACCATTTCATCGTTCGTATTGGCCTTTTAATTATCGAAAAACCAAACGCGCATCGACTATTCCGCAGGCGTAATTAATTTTCCTTTCTATCGGTTCGTTAGCGCGTTACCAGAGGTTTTGCGACCGATGAGCAAACACATTTCTGGTTCCTCGTCGGTGAAGCAAAACGCTATTCGACTAATTTAGCGACGCGATACCTCGTCCGTGCCTGAAACAGTTTAGCTGTTTCTCCTGGCATAATATTTTAAGTTTCTTTTAGCACGATGATTCTGTATTGGAGATAAAGCAAAAAAAATTTAGTTTTATTCGGCTGTACGAGAACAGACTTTCATTGAAATTGTAACTACAAAGACAGCATATAAAAAAGCATCAGAATGTTCTCGAAGTATACGAAAAAGATTCTCGTTAAAATTTCTGTACTAAATATTGCAATAATAATGTATTGTAACGCGTTAAAATGTGGTTGAATTTGACTATAAAATCTTTGAAGAATTGCGATTGTATCAGATTTTATTGTAAAATCTTATGCAATTTGTATTTGTGGAAAGTTTGCGATCAAATCTCACACGAAGAATTCTTTCGTGGAAGTTTCATTCAAGAAGTTTGAAACGAATCTTCGCTTCAAGTTCAGCGTATGGAGTGTAAAATTGAAAGTTTCCTCTTTTGATAATGTCGCTATGACAAGTATAAGAAATGTTTGCTTCGAATTCCGTGTAACGATTGGAAAAGTTGATGGAAGAAGAAATTGTGAGGGTAAAAATATTAAGCAAATCCTTGGAATCTTTCTTTAGAATTTCTTCTCTCTCAGTCATACAAAAACTTAGGAACCACGTCAAAGTATGCAACTTTTTTCGCGTGATAACTTGTGAACAGGAAAATACTTAAACTTAAAAATTGGTATCGTTCACCTTTATTGGGAAAATGGTTTCAATCGACATAAATCAAAATAAATTTAGGTTGAAAAAGCTGGACGAATTTGCCCTTCTTCTTTCTAAATTTCATGGAAAAATTTAATATACGAGGTTTTCTTCCAAAGAAATATTCTAATTTTACATTTCTGCAATAAGTGACGGCATTCTAGTTCTCGTCATTTTGTAGGTCAGGTTTTGTAGATAGTTTTTATCCGAAAGTAATAAGCCTTTCCATTTCTTTTCTACGTCTGTTCTCGAGAACAAAAGGATTCTGTGATAAAGAAGAAAGTGGAGCTCAAAGAACAATTATTTCGAGCAAATATAATCTTCCGTTTTATAAAGGCAAAGTGTTAACGATAAGAATGCTAAATTTCATTTCTTCCATGAATTAAAGGATGTAGGTGGCTATCTGATTACATCAATTGGTTTTTTCATTTAATACTTTATCGTTCAACCGCACTATGTGTATTGTTTCTACCTAGTATACACATACGTTTATACAAAATAATAGTAGTATAACTACGTTTGTACAGAGCGGAGCGGTAATCGTAGCGTATCGAACAGGCAGTGGTTTTACATGAAACAATAACAGAAAAGATTGAAATAATATTTTTTCACACGAGGTTTCGCTTTCGAGAAAATCGGTTTTAGAGGTTTGACAACTGTATTTTAATTTTGC